TAGAGCACTGGTGAAAAAAATAAAGGAGAAAAGGTCATGCAGTGTTCTTCAGAGTGTTCTCAGAATGGTGAATTATAAACTTTTTACTCTTCCAGAAGAGTAAAATTATTATTATATATGATAATTATATATGATCGATATAATGACCCAAGTTCTCCAGTTAACAGAGAAGGTACTAAGCAATAATGAGTGTATTTTTGTAGGGTTTAAGGAGAATTTGACAGTTTTGTAATTTTGGTTTAGCCCATCTTTTATCTTCTCCTGAGGAAAATGGCAGCTTAGCAATGAATACTTGTCAGAATTATCTCCTATCTGTGAGTTCTCAGTTTCCAACTGGTGCCTAGAAGCGCATTTGTAGTGGAGCCCAGGGTCATTCAAGGTAACTTCTCTACATGCCCTTACGGATTCTGTTATCTTAAAAAAAAATTTACATTTATAAAACTTAGTGTTATATTAAGTTTTTAAAGACCTCTTATAAGCTTTAAAATGTGATTATTTTATTGAAAACATACAAGGTGTGATGTGAATTACAAACTTAAACTAGACCTACATTAAAAGCTTTGAAGATCCTGTTTTAAATAATTTCAACTACCCTATAAAATCAAAAAATTTTTTTCACAATGTCACCCTTCTGCATAACTGAATGTAGCAGTTGATAGTGCTAAATGAGTGGAAATCCAATACACAACTCAATATTTTTACAAAGCACTCTCAAAAACATTGAGAAGTCCATTGCTATAAAACCAGTGTAATGGCTGGTGAAAAGTCATGTAAACTTTAAGAGTCAGATAAAGCCAAACTAAGAACCAACCTTAGAAAGCTGATTATAGAACTACCAGGAGGTGAGGGGTGAGAGCAAAGTGGAGAGAGGACAATGGACTTTGGTGGTGGGTGCCCTGGGGTAATGACACTTGATGGGGGAGATACTAGATTTCTTTTCCTTTTTTTTTAAATTTATTTATTTTTATACAAGAGCTGGGGTACAGGCAGAGGCACGGGAGGGTGAGAGGATCCACCAGAGACAGAGCGAGGAGCAGAACAGGCAGACTGAAGAAATACACTGCTGAGGGGAGCAGAGGGCAAGACAGGAGAGGTCTGCTGCGCCATGTGGGATCCTCGCTGGCATGCCGGCAGGGATCAAACCCATGCTGCAGAGGCTGTGGACAGCTTCACAGCACTGCGCTCAACCCACTGCACCACCAGGGAGGCCCGATCCTTGATTTCTAAAGCACACTGATGTAAACCAATGTTATCCCGAGAGGAAAAAACAAAAACCACAATTGTTAACAAAAGCGAATATAAGAGAGACCCTTGTCTTGGAATAAAAAGAATAAAAATTTTCTTCTGATGGAAGTAAGTCAAGATAGTCACAAGAGAAAAACTGTATCCTTTCAAATGTGTGACATTTCAGTCAGAATATTGAGTGAGGTATCTCAAATCTTGACTTTTCAGAAATAACTGATTGAAAAATGCATCCATATCATCAATGTTAAATGTATTCAATATTTTTAAGAGTTCACAGTTGTGCTATAGTGTTTTTTTTTTTTTTAAATCTAACTGAACTGCCATAATGGGAAAAATAGGTGCAGAGAATTCATGAAAGCTTCTTAAATGTCTTAAAAATAAATGTATGATTAGTTGAAGCTTTTAATTTAAGGCATGCAGCTGTTGGTGTAAGCAGTATCAAATTTCAAAAGAAGTTAGAGTGTGAATAAATAGAATAAGTGAAACAGTTTCTTGAGAAGAAATAAAGTAAAAATTAAGCACATGGATTATCATTACTTTGCTTCTCATATTCAAAACATAATGCTGAAATATAAATTTCAAGTATAAAATGTACTTTTATATTATACTGAGAAGCAGGCTATATAAAAATAATGCAAAGCAAAAGGTTAAGATTATCCAATAGTGTGATATGTAGTCTGTTTACATCATATAGAAATTGAATGATCTTACTGTCATTCCTTTTAAATAAAGAACACCAAGATAACATCATATTGCTACATTCACATAATTTATTAAACATAATATAAACTTGGCTGCTTAGAAAAGAGCTGTCATTATGTTGACATGTAGTTTGTTAATCTTCTGTTTATATCGATTGGTATTTAAGGTTATCACCTCAAATATTAAATATTTTCACTTAAAAAGAGACTTAAATTGGTTTTTAAACAGTAAAAAATAATAATAGACAGTTCACTTAGATGAGAGTAGTAGCATACATTTAATACTAATAGAGTCACACATTCTAAATGTTCCTGTTAACCTCAAGTGATTTTTATGAGCTTTGGTCAATGTTAGATTCAACTGGAAACTAGTCTCAGATGTCTTTTGCTACCCATTTAAGGTAAAGTTTATTGAAAGTTATGATTACATAAGAATATCATGATTCAGGGTTTAAGTGTTGGTTTTGTAAGATTTTTTTTTTTTTTTGGCATTTAGGTCTGTGTCCTGGAATTGGTGCCCAAACAATTTTAAGTGTGGTATGAGCTGTTTATGTCATTGAGTAAAATTAGAGATGCCTGTTACTAATATGAGGAGAATGAAATATGAGACAAGGCCAACATGTGAGAGCTTTTTCTTCCGGGCAGAGTTGGAGGAGTTTAAATCGTTCACTTTCATTCTACAAGTAATGGGAAAGTTTGAAACATTTGTTCTTGGATCGCCCTCAAGCTGATTAAAGTTACTGTGCTTTTCTAATACATCTAAGGTAAGTAATCAGATTTAACTTGGATTTTATACAGTTCTGTGATTTAAAAATTGTACAATTTAAAAAATTCACAAAGATATAGGTTTCTTGATAATTTCCTTCATAGGTGATATAAAATGTTTAATAAATTTATCTGAAAATAATTACATACTAAGAAGCAACAAAATGTACTTAGTTTCTCATTTCAACCTTTCTTGAAGTTTTCCTGACCACTAACATGCTATATACTTTTGCATAATATTGTATTTCTAATCAGGTATTCAATTTCTATCAGGTATTCAATGTATACTGTAATTACTCTTGACAAAGTTGACTCTTTAAGATACCCTACTGCTACACTACTCTTAAATTTCTGTTTAGAATTGCATTTGCTGTACAGTTTGTCAGTGTTTTTGTCGTAGGCATTAAGGAGCCGATTTAAATTAATAAGAGCAAAAATCCAGGTTGTTTGGTAAATTGGGAAGAAGCAGAACAGGAGCAAAACACCAACTCTGTCTTCCCAATTATTCTTGGATAAAAGAAGGCAATTCTCTCCCAAAATCTGTGAAAAAAAAATTGTTGTTCAAAATATATACTAAAAAGTAGGTATAACTAGGATAAAAGGTGAACACGTGGTGATGATGCTTTGACCTACTAAAGTTGTCAGTTGTTTGTGTTTCCTAGGTTAATATGGGACAGTCAGAAAACAAGTTTTTAAAAGAAGGCGTAGAGAAGAGACAATAAGGGAAAATATAACCAACTAGCTAAAAGATTTGTCAGCAGGATGAAGTAACTCACTGGTACAAAATGTCCCAGAAAATGTACTGTTTATTTTTTGCTATTTTCTTGGAAACATTTTGTAGAGCTAGACACAAAGAAGTGTACAAGTTCCTTACTTTTACAGGTTCTAACATTTTTCTGTGGCTTTCTTTCGAAGCAAAATGCAAAGTAGTTTTTCAAAATATTTCAGTACTTAATTTCATCTCACTGCAGAACAGAGGCCACCAGAATGGGACAGTAAAGGGTGGGGACTAAGGGGGAAGGGACCCACTGGACTATGGTGAGGATTGCTGGGGCTTTGCTGGTGGTTGTGGTGTGATAATTTACATGTGCAGCAATATGAACCTATATCCCTAAAACATATATGGTATCATTAACCAACCTTACCTCAATCAACATATATTTAAAAAATACATATAGACATATATATTGAATTTCAAAAAATAGCAAATCCCAATTTCCAAAAGAAGTTACCTAAGCTGCAGTAGAAATGCTGAAAGTAAAATTGGCCCCAAGGTATCCTTTAAAAAGCATCCTTTCTAGTCATTATATTGAATATGAAAATCAAATAATAATGTAAATTATGAAGTTACTTTGTGTATTTTGTAGGATCTATGATCTCCCTTCATTCCTATGCTTCTTGGCTCATCTAAGCTACTTGCTTCTTCGCACCTGAGCCCAGTCCTCCCATGCCCACTGTATGTCCTGTGTGTGACTCCACCACCTTCCCATTTCCTCAGATGCCCCTTCTGTGTTTCTTTCTGTCCTTCCCTCTACCTTTTGTTCTCAGTCTCCTCAGCACCTGTCTAGCTTGTTCATCTCTGGACCTACTATAATGACAGACATTGTTATGATGTTCTCACAAGTATTCTAGAATTCCCCTTCTGCTATACCTGCCTTTTCGGACTCCAACTTCATTTTTAATTTTACATGTTATTCTGTCTTAGAGAATTTTATAGGAAGATAGATACAGGAGTATCTAATAATTTGTAGATTTTCAAAAGTCTCAAGACCTCTCAAAATATCAGAGTCCATTTGACTTCATGTGACTGGTGGGTCATGTCCCACTGAGGGAAGATGAGCCTAGGGATGTCAGGAAGGCTTATGCCCAAAGAGTGTGTGCTTCATTCTAAGGCAGTAGAGAACCATTTGAACATTTACAACAGAAAAGTAGTATGGACAGATTTACTCTCTGGGAAGGTCACTCTGGTTGCCATAGCGAATGAAGTGGGGGCATGAAGGAAGTAGGTAGACAGGAAAGCTATAAAAAGGCAAACGATGGCCTCACCTGAAGACTGGGAAATGGAACCAACAGGCAGTTCTCATTGCTATAAACAGGTTATCTTAGAACCAGCTTTAGCTTTGTGGCTATTTTAATTCTACTTTAAAGATTCTCACTTGGTTGTACTTGTGAGACATCTCTGAAAAGTCTACTATCAACGGAGAAGTAGTGACTACAAGTTATCTCATGTTTAAGCTATGGAGTTAGACTGACACTTTCTACCTGTATGCCCTTGTGTGAAATACTTACCCTCTGCCTCAGTCTCTTCACTTGTAAAACTGGAGCTAGCCATAGTATGTACCTCCTAAAGCAAAAAAGGAGCATCAGTTTAGTCCATACAAGAAACTTAGAAATTTTCTACCTTCTTGGTAAGCATTAGCTCTATTTATCATCCTCTCTTCCTCCTCCGCCTCACCACCACCATCAGTAACAAGAAAACATGTAGCTTCTTATTCTCTCCTCCACTAAAAGGAAGTAAGGGAAGGACCTCAAAATGGTGATGAGTTTTCTAAACTGCTTCTCCTGGATTCCCTAAGAAGGCACCAGGAGGCCTATGGAGGCAGGAGAGTCTAGGCTGAGGCTATTTTTGCTCCAAAAGAGAATGTTCTCCACACTCAGCAATGCTGAGAGGAATGTGTACATTCCAGAACACAAATAGACAGCCCTCCCTGTTATTGTCACCAAATGAACTGAAAATCCCTAACAGTATCTTTATATTTATAAAGGAAAAAAATAAATCAAATGACTGCACAGGTGAATATTTTTCTTTCATAAAACATTTTAGATCCTAATGAAAATCTTTGTTAAAATATTCTAAAATGTGGGCCTCCCTGGTGGTGCAAGGGGTTAAGATGTAACCTGTGAAGCTATCCGCAGCCACTGCAGCACGAGTTCAATCCCCAGCAAGGGAGCTACCCACATGGCACAAAAGACCTCTCTTGATTCATCCGCTGCTCCCCTCAGCAGTGTATTTCACTCATTCTGCCTGTTCTGTTCCCTACTCTGTCTCTGGTGAATCCTCTCACCACCCCCAACACCTCTGGCCGTACCCCAGTTCTTGTATGCATAAATAAATAAATCTTTACAAAAAATATTCTAAAATGTTCATCTCAATGAAACTTAGAAGTGTGAAGTGTGCTATCCCCATATCAGGATGTATTTATTGTAAAGGTGTAATTTTCACATTTGAAAATCATATTAAATCTTTCCAGTCCCAAAGAAATGGTGACTATAAGGACTGAAGTTAATCACAGCCCAAAAAATCCTATGAAACTTTTCAAAGAATTGTCAAAACAGTCACAAGTTTCATATACACCACATTTGATAACTAAGAAACTTAATTATGTTTACCTCGAGAATTTCTTTTTTGTTTACATATTTAAAGATTTGCAATTAAAAAGAAACTCAGATTGGTTGACAAGTTTAAATAACTTTTTTAAAAAGTTGTTCTTAATTTTCTGGGCCTCCTGGTGATGCAGGGGTTAAAGTTTCAGCACTATCCAGCTATCCCCAGCCACTGCAGCATGAGTTCTATCCCTGGCCAGGGAGCTAACCCAAATGGCACAGCAGACCTCTCCTGTCTCGCCCACTGCTCCCCTCAGCAGTGTATTTCAGTAGATCTGCCTGTTCTGCTCCTCATTCTGTCTCTGGTGAATCCTCTAACCCCCTGCACCTCTGGCCTATGCCCCAGTTCTAATATGCATAAATAAATCAATCTTATTTTTAAAAAGTTGTTCTTAATTATTTGTAGATATCTTTTAGAATTAGACTTTAGTGAAGTGCTATTTTTAAAGACAAGGAAAATTGAGGTTTTTGAAGGAGGATTTAATAGTTGGTTTGCCTGGAAATTTCAGCATCAGTTATAAAATCAAACGTCTTAATGAAGTAGATGACAGGCTACCTAAATCTCTGGTTAAATGCAGCTTTCAAGTATAATTTAATTCAACACTTTGTTACACTCTGTCTTCCTTTGTAAACAATGTCAAACTTGAGGGTTCTAGCTACACAGGATAAATGGTTCTGTAATATAAGATGTTCCCCTTCCCTCAGCAGGACTGATACTCAACTGGCTCTTAAGTCGCCAAAAAAGGTTTGCACACTTCTCCAGAGAATTGCCCTCATCTCAACCCACATCATTGCCCAACTCCTTCTCCTGCCCTAAGCTGCTGGTCTCATTGCCTGACACGGGCCACCAGAGAGCATTCCTTTAATATATCACTTGCATAGGAATCCTTATCTCAAACTATGCTTCTAGGAACTTCACGTAAGTCTTCCACTGCTGAAATGCTTCCTTCTGTCTTTTTGATTCTGTGTGAAGCACTATCTACATTTGTCTGCATTTCATTTGTAATCTCTTTTTGTAATCTATATATTCAGTCTCTTCAGTGAAGGACTCTCTTTGTTCCTGGATCTCCTTTCTGAGAGACTTTGAGCCTGTCTGTCAGCCTTTGACTGATCTCCCAGTGTCTCATTTAACGTTTTCAATATTGTTGTTTTGAATTTGTTGTCAGATAGTTTCTCTATTGCTGTCTCCTTTACCTGTGTCCGGGACTTTTGTCCTTATCACTTCGCTTTTACATCTTGTGTTGAGATGTTCCTTGCTTCCTGGGCATATATATTGCCTTATTTATTGCTATTTATGTCTGTGTGGTTGGGGTGCTGGGGATTTATCTTTGTCTTCTTCTTAATTTACCTTACCATGTGGTGGAGGTAGACAGGGGGTCTAGGGCCTACCTCCTTCATCTTGGTTTGAGGAGTGATTTTAGTCACGCTACCTCTTGTTCCACAGCAAGCTGTATTCTGTGCGGAGATTGGCTCCACCTCCCCATTGTTCCTTTCTTCTGAGGGTCGTGATCTATGAAACTTGAGCCTCCCACAAGACTCACCTTCCAGAAAGTTTGCAACTATTAAGCAAACTTAAACAAGAGAAGAAAGCTGAAAGTGATGTCCCCAAATTCCAGGATTTTCTATAAAGCTACAGTAATTAAGACACTGGGATGGACAGAGAGAGCTCAGCAGGTGATGTGTGCCCATGGTCACCTGAGGGCAGGGCAGGGGAGGTCAATGGCAGGCAGTGCCATGGCAGGAGGAGGCAAAAAAAAAAAAAACCCAAAAGGACATGTCACCTCTTCAGCCACAGAGCCTTCCCAGACTGAGCTTTGTCCAGTGCCCTCAATGTAAAGAGCAGAAACCATTGAGTTATCATCATATTTAACTTGTAACAATGGGATTTTGACCCCTCTGCTTGGCATTCTCAGTGGGGCTGTGATGTAACAAAGCTGTCCTTTCCTGGAGCATCTTCCTGCCTCTGTGTTCCAAGCCAGAGATGAGGCTGGAAGCATGTGGGGGCCTATGGGGGCAGTTGCTGCCAAGACCAAGGAGGACCCTCCTTGGCCAGAGAGTGGAGAACTGGGTGCTGGTGGGTAGCTGAGATTCCCTGCCTGGTGGCAGGGTGCCCTGGGCAACATGCCTGGCCCTGCATCTAGAACCCCAGAATGGATGGGGATTCACACTGTACATGCTGAAGAGTACTGGGCTTATACCACAAATACTAAATCTTAATGGATTAAGTTACAGCCCAAGTCACAGCTCTAGTTTCTAGCATCATCCTTAGAAGTTTGCTCAATTAATATTTTTATCAAATTCAACAGGCCTCTCATTCTTTCACTCAAGATTTTATTGTATGACTATTACATATTAGCTGTAGTATTTTAAAGCCACAACAATGAACAAGAGCCACATGGATTTTTTATTCTAAAGGGCAGTCAATAAACAAGTAAACAACCAAATAAACAAAATGGGTGTGTCCAGGACTGAAATAGGGATGTTTAAGAGGCACCTCTATAGCAGAATTGCTGTTAACTTTCCTGTAAATCATTACAAAATTGTCTAAAATGGATATTAAAGTTTTCTCAATTTTATTATGTGTGAACAAAAGATTTCTATGGTAGGCAGAATAATGATTCCCCAAAATGCCCATGTCCTAATTTCTTGGACTTTACATGGTAAAAAGGAGTTTGCAGGTGTGATTACATTAAGGCAGTAAGTGCGAGGATTAGTCCAGAGTATCCAGGTGAGCCCAATCTAATCTCAAGAATTCTTATTATGGGAAGGCAGAGGGGTCAGATTCAGAGGAGGAGATGTGAGGATGGAAACTAGAGGCTGCAGACAAGGAATTCAGTGAGCCTACTGCAGACAGAACAGGGAAGGACAGATTCTTTTTTTTTTTTTTTTTTTTTAATAGAGGCATGTTTTTTTTTATTTATTTATTTGTTTGTTTTGTTTATACATGCACTGGGTACAGTCAGAAGCGCGGGAGGGTGAAAGAATTCACCAGAGCCAGAGTGGGGAGCAGAGCAGGCAGAAGGACCAAAGTACACTGCTGAGGGGAGCAGTGGGCGGCAGGAGAGGTCTGCGCGCCATGTGGGACCCTCCTCCGGTGGCTGGGGAGCAGCCGGGGATCGAACCAGCGCCACAGAGGCCGCGGGCAGCTTCGCAACCCAGCGCTCTACCGCTGCGCCACCTGGGAGGCCCAGGGAAGGACAGATTCTTCCCTGACCCTCCTGCCAACATTTTGCTTTTTAACCTTAGAAGAAGAACCATTTTGAGACTTGAACCCTAAAACTATAAATAATAAAATTTTATTGGGTTTGTGACAATTTGTTATACCACCAATAAGAAATTATATATAGGAATATATAACTAGGAACAGATATATATAGCAGATGGAATATATATATAGGAATAGATATATATAGCAGATGGAAACTCTTTTGTGTGTGTGTGTGTGTGTGTATGTTACACACATACATTCTTAGGAAACTTATCTTTATTGATTAGTAATAGTACTGTAAAATTATGCACTAGCTTTCAGTTTCAGTCACTCTGGTCACCTTTCCCAATCCAGCTGCAGTCTCTTGGTATATTCTTTACAAATATTCTGAGGTAGCCACCTTACTTCACAAAATGACCAAACTTCGAAATAAAAATAATAGAATGACATGATGGAGAGTGACTATGTCTGGAGAAGGCTTTTTTGAGGAGATTACATGTAGCTGCTCCTGGAAACTAAGAAGGAGCCAGCAGAGTGTTTCAGGTGGAGAGTGCCCAGGACAAAGATCCTGTGTGAGAATTAACTTGGTCTGTTTAAAGCACAGATGGAACATAGTGACCAAAACCAAAATGGTAGTGAAACCAGAGATAAGCAAAGGTTAGGACATGCATGGCTTGATAGACGAAAGAGGAATTTGGATGTTCTAAGTGTGGAGAAAAGTGTGGAATGTTGGCATTTTACACATTTGGCTACTGAGCACAGAATGGCTTCCAGAGGGAAGAAGGAAAGTTGTTTTTCCTGTTGTGTAGATGAAAGTTCACGGTGGCTTGAATGAGTGTGATGGCAATGGGCATGAAAAGAAGTACAGATTTGGGGTTTCTGTGACAGTGAGGTTGATGAGACTTGGTGATGTGGGCCTGGAAGAAAAAAAAAGAAGAATGACTTCTGAGACTTTGACTGGAGCAACTGGGTGGGTGGTGGAGGACTCTAATATAAGGAAAATTGAGGAGTTCAAAGAAATTAATAAATAATGCCATTATGAAATCATTAAACATTTAAGTCTTGACTAATGTAGGTTATTATTAGTCTTACTGAGTATTTGAGATTATCATGATGAATAGCACAATTTTATATAAGCAAAACATGAGAAATTACCTATTGTTAAATTGGAGAGAGATTTCAATAACTATTTCAGCCTATGATTTACTTTAAGTAAGGACAATACCTCCAAGCCATTCCTAAAATAAATGCACGACCTTTGCATTTAAAAAAATCCCAGAGGAGAATATCTTTTATTCTGATTCATCATTTCACTACATTTGTAGTCAAAAAGTTTTCTTGATCTCGTATCTTCACGTTATAACCATTAAAACCATTTTTAAGTTAAAATGGTTAAAACCATTTTTCCTTTACATAAAGGGAAAATGAATAATTTTGTAAAATCCCTTGATAGAAATGAAATTGTTACTAAAAACTATTACCTTAATTTACATAAAGCAATAATAAATATTTATATATATCTTTACTCAAACACATTTTCTGATATTCCTGGAAGTAGTTTACTATTTAGGAACTTTATTATAGGCAAAAGTTAGTGTGGTCGGTTTTGTACAAAGAGCTTTTTATTTGTAATTTAGTAGCTGAAGAAAGACATAATTTAATCATTTGACATAAAATTACAAATTCAATTGTATTGCTTAAAAGCTATATAGGTACCCACTTGATTCTTTCCCCACTGAATCTTTTGAGAACTTGACAACTTGATTATTTTGGGATGATAGTTCAATTCCAAATTAAATCCTGCAGAATTTTAAAAGATTTATACATATTGAGTTTATTTATTAACATCTGAAAATATGATCACCGATTTCAAGTGGCTATGTCATAATTAAGATACTTTTAATGACAGATGAAATGCCACTCTGTGTTTGGAACACAGTGACATGTTTCAAAGTAATATTTCATTCTCTTTTTAAAAATCATCAATTTTGGAAATGTACTATTAGGATGAAAATATATTATTTTAGAATCACTATTGACAAACCAGTTCTCTCTCTCCTCCTCTCTCCCTCCTCCATCCTTAATCCCATTTGCTCCCCTCCCTTCACTCCCTGCACCACCCCCCTCCATGGTAGATGGTACGTGAACAGTACATTACAACCACAGAAGGCACCCACATTGAGAGACCAGGGAACCAATCTGTCTGCAAGATTGGCATTTATGGCTGGAGAAAGCGTTGCCTCTACTTATTTGTTCTTCTCTTGCTCGTCATTCTTCTGGTGAATTTTGCTCTCACAATTTGGATTCTGAAAGTGATGTGGTTTTTCCCAGTAAGTATTTTTTCCTGGCAAGATGTTCTTGTTTTGTTTGTTGAATCACTTTAACCATATTGTATGAGTAGAAGCTTGCTTTAGTGTAATTGGTGTTTCTTCTCTGTCTGGATCAGAATCAGTAGCAAAACAAACATATAAAATTTTAATCTTTTTACCTTTTTATTAAACTTTACTATGAACTATAGTGTACTGGGTGTTTTGTTTACTTTTACTGTAATTTTATTGTAATTTTTCTCATTAGTCATTGTCTCTACATGGTGAAGAAATCAGATTCATCCAAGTTTGAGATTTATTGAGTAATGATTGCTTAATGATCTAAGTGACTAATTTGTAAATTTTTTCAATTCATGCTTTCCTAATCTCATTCATATTTACTATTAAAATCTTACTTTCTTATTTTCCTAAAAGAACCCTTCATTTTGATATACAATAAATTCTTGTCCAGAGGTCAAATGATAATTTAACAACAGATTTAACAATAAAATATCAGTAGTCCTAAGGAGTTTATATTTTATTCTAATATCCTCATGTTTTCAGGATAGCTGAGTGATTTTATATGCTCTGATGATATTTGGTGTAATTTTTGAAAAAAAAAACTCATTTAATGTAGAATGGCATAATTTTGCAAGATAGTCACAGTGAGAAAAAAACACCACAGTCAACATCACAGGGAGATTAATATATTTCCCATGTGTATCTGGACGGTGTGATACAGACATGGGCTTTTTATAATCAGATTACTCCTTGACTTACTAGCCTTTACTTTCTATGCTATTGCCTGTATTTTTTTATAGTTGTACAGCCAGTAGATACATTATTAATTTCATTGGCATAATACAATACATAAATGTTTACTTTTCATACTTGCAAAGAGGTGAAATACCAATCCAAACAAAATATAGCTTGAAATATGTTATTTAATATAAATTTAATATATTAAATATTTAGTATAAATGTTATACATTATATTAGTAAACAAAGATATATTTAGTCAAATTTAAGTAATGATTTCTAGTTAAAATGTGCAAAAACAATATTTTTGCAATGCCAGAATAGTATTTAGTTCTATTGTACAGTTTTACTTTATGAAAGTAATACAACATGTGGCATAGATGTTTTTGTATATTATCTGCACTTTATGTCTAAATTTAAAATACTTTAATACTTTTTGGAGACTTAATCAAGGTTGGAATCTTCAAATTACAAATTATGGGATCTTTCAGCTACACTGTTGACTAGACGGCCCTACGTCAATCTGAAGTAAGTTCCTCAGTTATGCAAAACGCTAAGTAAGATAATTTACTAGGAAGAAGACCTTTAAATGAGCCTGGGAAAAAGAAGCCACTCTGTGTCCCAGAGACTGTCAGACTTTCACAGTCGCACCTGTGGCTGTGAGCCCTATCAATCACCTTTTGACGCTGACACAGTCAGTAAATATATATTGGTGAATAGAAATGTGCATTATATTAGAAACATGTGTGAATTAATTTTGCTAACTATATGAATATAAAGTGACCATATTGCTAGTTTGTGTTCTCACAGCATTTAAAACAAGTTTTAGGTGTTATAAATCTTTATTTATTAAATAATGCCAGCTGCTGGGTGCTTTTCGCAACTTAGGATAGCTAATCACTGAGATCAGCAATTTTTTTCCATCATCACTGCGCTATTTCTAGCCTGTACTTCCTAGTGAGATGTCCTCTTTGAGCATGGTGTTTTCTTCAACACTGGACATCTGTTGCTAATTGGTAGTGAATATTGCGAATTCTTTAATGATGCCCTTCAACAAAAAACCACTGAAGAATAACAGTGTTTATGGGATCAAAAGTTAAGATGCACAATGACATTGTCTTGCTGAAGTAAAAAAGAAAAGTTTTTTAAAAAACCCATTGTCTCATCTTTTGCAACAGACAGGAATGGGTCACTTGCGTGTTATAAAAGATGGACTTCGCCTAGAAGGAGAATCAGAATTTTTATTCCCATTGTATGCCAAAGAAATACGCTCCAGAATGGTAAGAAAATGATGAAACATCTAAATAATTTGTATTTTAAGAATAATAAAAGGACAGAAATCCAATATATTTCAGTGATTTCTTAATGTATATATGTACACACATTTTTCATATACTATAAAATACTTGTTATCAAGAACTTATTTCTGATATTACATTCTAAAGAGATTATTTTCATGTGCTTCAGACTAGAATTTGATGGCCTCGCCAATTCTGACCATAGTAAAGGAGTTTAGAAATGAAAACTTTTACCCAAAACAATCTAGATCTCTTTCCATTAGTGCAAGTAATTTAAAACATAACACCATGCTTATTTCAAGGCATGTTAATTGTATGATAGGTTTAGAAAGAAATTATTTTGTATTAATATGTTCTGTACTAATTATATTAATTACAGATTATCATCCTATGGTATTATCCAAAAATAGATGAAAAATCAATACTATAACTGTGTAATCTCAAATTAAAACTGTATCACCATTGTCTTCATTTACAAATATGGAATTTATAACAAGTAGAGTCAAGCAAAAAATAGAAAAAATTTTGTAAAATGTTCTGTTCTCCTTATGTGATGCTATGACCTCATTGTAGATATAAACAATTTGCTAGATTAAGTAATATTATCAAGATAAAATGTTAAAACTTCATCCAACTATAACTTACCAATTATATGAATAATATACACTTCATTTTCCTCACATATAGAGGAAGAAAGGATATGTCAGTATTTCCTACAAGCAGATTTTGTTCCAGCTACTCTAGGAGAATTAGAAAGGAGACAAAAAGTCGCCACTGGGAAACATTTGGTCTTGTAAGAGAGGTAACTGTACACTACTCAACTGGACATCAGAACCACCACCAAGTTCTATTACCAACTGTAAAGTGATAGAGCGAAACTTAAACACACACACACACACACACACATATCAAAGGAGAGATCCTCTAGCATGTAAAGCACAAGCAGGTATTAGGCACAATCATTTTACTTCTGAAAGTATCTCAATTGACACTATGACTTGGAATATCACAGGCTAATACATAGAAGAGCCTGATTCTGTCAATTTATTCAATTAATACACTCACATCCATCTTGATGACATTTTGGTGTATTAAACAGAAGCACTATTAAAACCAAGGAGAATTACCATAAACTTTCATTAAAAAAAGGAAATCAAATATGAAGAAAGAACTCAAATATTAAAAATTAGCCTTTCCATTCTTACTCCTCAGAGTTAGGTTGACTGATCCCTTACCATATTTTTTAAGATGTGAGACAGGAAGAATAGTGTGGTGACTGAAATCAGATGCCTAGATCTTAGATCATAGCAAATTTAAAATTTTGTGTTTAATAATACTTTGTTCTATATTATCAGATTTTTTAAATCTCTAATACACCTTTTATAAAAAAATAGCAAATTTATGTAAAGTATTATGTAAAGTATCTAAAGTATTTTAGATACTCATAAATTATTTTAAATATTTGAAAAGATACTTTACTAAAGTAGAAATAAGAGCAATGTATTTGATGGTTTATAACAAGGATGGAAGCCAAATGTATGATAAATAAACATCATGACAGAAAAAGACAAAACAGGGCCTCGCTGGTGGCGCAGTGGGATGAGTGCCGTGCTGTGAAGATGTCTGCAGACCATGCAGTGCGAGTTCGATCCCAGCCGGCTGGTGAGGGTCCCACACGGCGCAGCAGACCTCTCCTGTCTCGTCCCTTGCTCCCTTGAGCAGTGTATTTCTGTCATCTTCCTGTTCTGCTCCCTGCTCTGCATCTGGTGTGTCCTTTTCCCCTCCCGCGCCTCTGGCCTGTAACCCAGCTCTTGTATAAAAATAAATAAATCTTAAAAAAACAAAACAAAAACAGCCAGAGTAATTGGAGACTTCTCACTCCCTTCTCTGGAGTTTTTCAAAACTGTTTGATGGATGCAATCTTGCCTTTGCACTGTGTTGTTGAGCCCATGTGGGTTGTATACATGACTAGATACAGTTAAAGCCTCTATAAAACCTTGAGATTTTGTATGAGAGGTGGAAGTTAGGTACAGAAAACCACTTGCTTTGCTGCCCAAGACAATGCAACTTAAGTTCTCTTGTTCATTAAAACTGCTACCTACCAAAAAAAAAAAAAAAAAAAGAAAGAAATGAAAAATACAGGCCTACATTAAGAAACTAAAAAGGGGGGCCTCCCTGGTGGTGCTAGGGGTTAAGCACAGCACTGTGAAGTTATCCGTGAGTTTGATTCCCAGCCAGGGAACTGACCCACATGGCGCAGCAGACCTGTCCTGTCTCTCCTGCTGCTTCCCTCAGCTGTGTATTTAGGTAGATCCGCCTGTTGTACTCCCCACTCTGTCTCTGGTGAATCCTCTCACCCCCCACACCTCTGACCTGTACCCAGTTCTTGTATGCATAAATAAATAAATAAATCTTTGGGGGCTTCCCTGTGGTGCAGGCGGTTGAGCCTTGCACTGTGAAGCTGTCTGCAGTCTCTGCAAGGCAGGTTCGATCCCAGCCAGCCGGGGAGAAACCCACACTGCGCGGCACACCTCTCTTGTCTCGCCCGCTGCTCTCCTCAGCAGTGTATTTCAGTCTGCCTGTTCTGTTCCCCGCTCTGTCTCTGGTGAATCCTCTCACCCTCCCACCCATCTGGCCTCTACCCCGGTTCTTATAAAAATAAATAGATCTTTAAAAAAATAATAATGAAAAAAATCTTTAAAAATAAAAAAAGTAACAAAAAAGGGCTCAAACAAATAATCTAAACTCATGGAACTAAAGAAATAACAAATGAAACCAAAAGCCATTAAAAAGAGGAAATAATAAAAATTATAGCAGAATTTAATGAAAAAAATAAAAATACAATAAAAATGATCAATGAAATAAAGAGTTTCTTCAAAAGATAAAACAGACATACCTCTAGGGAGGCTCATAAGAATAAAAGAGAAAAAACTCATAAGAATAAAATAATAATAAAAGAAACAAAAGAGAAGTTACAACAGACATCTCAGAAAAGAAATACAGAAAATCATAAAAAACTACCCTGAACATGTTTATGCCAACAAATTGGAAAAACTCAAAAAAAAAAAAAAGGACAAATTCTTAGAATTATGCACCTTTCAAGACTGTATCAGGAAGAAATACAAAAATTGAACACACCATTTACAAGAAAGGAAATTGAAAATTTAATGCAAAGTCACACCCCTAAAAAAGCAAAAGTTCAGGAACATAGAATTTCACTACTGTGTTTTACCAAACCCTCAAAGATGAACTAATATCTATTTTTCACAAAAATTTTCCAAGAAACTGAGGAAGACGAAATGTCTCCAATTAGCCTTTACGAGATGAACATTACTCTGAAAGCAGGTAAGAACATCACAATAAGAGAAAATAACAGACCAATATCCCTGCTATACAGAGATGCAAAAATCATCAAAATTAGCAAACCAAATTCAACAATACACTAAAAGAAGAATTACACATCATGACCAAGCGGGATTTATTCCTGGGATGAAAGTATGGTCCCATATATATATAAATGTGATAATTATAAATATAGCCAACAATTCAACTCAGATGAATGAAAACATGAAATGCTCTTTTACAGAAACCAAACAAATGATGAACTAAATTAATTAAAAATAAACGTCTAGACTATAAAACGAATGACTGCTTACCAAAAGGGAAGGAGGGGTGGGTAAATCAGGGAAAGGGCTCAATTGTGTAGTGAAGGATATAATTGGGCTTTTAGCAGTGGGTAAACATCTGTAAAATATACAGATGTTTATTGTAATGACATACAACTGAATCTTATATACTACTATAATGATACTTCAATTTTAAGAAAAGAAAAAATAAAGTAAATCTGAGGTTTTTTTAGAAGCTCTTTTTCTACCGACTTGTCATCTATTAATATCACAAAATTTTTCTAAAGGATATCACTAGCTAACTATGAAAACAGAAAAATTAATTCGCAAGAGGTAGCTCTCACCTTCCTCATCTGGAAAGTTGAAATAATGCCCCCTATACCTCACAGTAAACATTACAGTTACCTGTCAGTTGTTTTACTTATCAAAAAAGTAGATTAAAGAACAAGTGAAATTCCATGTGAGAGGATTTGGTAAATAGTTCAGGGAATATTTATATTAGTTATTAATATTGTTACAGAGCAATTTCTGCTTTACTATGAGCAAGAGAAAATCTAGTTATAAGTTCTTTTATTCTCACATAACAAGAAGCTGGAAAGGGCACCTACATCATGGGTTTAGCACTCAGCAACATTGGGATCAGTATTTTTACCATCTCCTGCCTTCCCCAGAGTCACTAGCTATCTGCTGGGCCATATCCCAGGTATGTGGACAGGAAATATGCAATGCCATTGTGTGTAACCCTTTCAAATGTTTGCCCAAAAACTCCCAGTCCCACTCTCAGCAGATGTGAGATAATTTAAATCTCATTGGCTAGAAGCATGTCACTCGCTTTTTTCTGCATGCAAGAGGGGATGAGAAAGCAATTAACCTTTCTATCCCCGCAGTGGAAAGCAAGGGTGACAAAGGATTTGAGGATCCTCCTTGGATCAGACAACATAAGTGCTTCCCAGAGTAACTTCCTTAGTCTAAGAATGGGAGTGTATCTCACAGCTCTAACCTGAGCCCTATCCTACCATTCCAGGAGAATGATAAAAAAAAAAAAAAAAAAAAAAAGAGCATGGAAATTGGCAACTAAAGACTAGGTTCTGTCATGGAAATGTCACTCACTAGCTGTAACTTTGGGTGAGCTATAATTTAACCTCTGAATTTAATTTCTTTATCTATGTATTAGGAGTAATGATACTTCATAATGTGAAGGATGAAATGAAAGAATGGATGCTACTGGTGAATTATTATTAATTCTTATTATCATGCTAGTTAGAAAATTATTAACAGTGCAAAAACAAGTATTAACGTCTCACAGGATTAAATGTGAGACAGATCCATCTGTTTTCAAAAAGCAAGTTGGAGAATTTCTCGCCAGGTAGATAAAATTCCAAAGGGCTCTTTCCTTTATGAAAAAAAAAAAAAAGACATTATTCCCTATAACTTTGGAAGATATTTGATTTCCTCTGAATGAGCAATAAAACTATCTAAATCCAACAACCAAAAATTACTATATTCCTTTTGAAGAAAATTGTTTATATAAAAGCAAATAATGTATAAAACAAAACCACCCAATCAGAACTATGATTGAAAACACTTGAGTGTTTATAAAACCACTTTATCTCTCAAAAAAAAAAAAAAACTGAAAAATATATAGGGTTGGCCAAATAAATTTGGAAAGCTTTTAAGTATGTGAGAAACCTTTGCATTTTGAATGTAAGCACTTCTATTTATTATAGAAGTGCTAACCATATTATAGAAGATTTGATTTATCTTCTTGAAATACATTGTGTCCTAGAGATAAATAATAAAAATGAAATTTTAATTACTTGTAAAAGAGAAAGTACTATTAATTAAACCCATGAAAGAGGATCACTGGATCTGTGACTATGGAGAAACTATTTTATATCAACCCTAAATTTATATATAAATATAAAATATAGTCACTTAAAATAGTATCCATCTGGCTAATTTTGTAAATCCTTTCCTAGGACACGTCTCTGCTTCTACAGTCAACTCAGAATGTGACTTTAAATGCACGAAACTCTGAAGGAGAGGTCACAAGCAGATTAAAAGTGGGTGAGTCCAGCTTCATCACAATAATTTGTAATCATGTGGCCCATAAATAGTTGAAATGAATGGATGAATTTGCTTTTTCTTCTAAACAATTCAAAGTTATTTAGGAATGATCAAAGTATGAGTTTTGCAATTAGGCTGTGTTGACAACATGAAAGAATAGTTACCACACGGGAGGATGGTCCGAAATAATTTATTTATTTATTTTTTTCAAGATCTATTTATTTATGCATACAGGAGCTGGGGCACAGGCCAGAGATGCGGGGGGGTGAGAGGATGAGCGGATTCACTAGAGACAGAGTGGGGAACAGAACAGGCAGATTGACTGAAATATACTGCTGAGGGGCACAGCGGGTGAGTCAGGAGAGGTCTGCCGCGCCATGTGGCAGGCTGGGGATCAAACTCGTGCTGCAGAGGCTGTGGACTGGCCCATAGTGTGGTGCCCAACCCCCTGTGCCACCAGGGAGGCCCTGGTCTGAAATAATTTAATTAAAATTATTTTGATTTCAAGAACTAGAGGACCATTCAAGATCAAGGTAAAGTTAATGACCTCAAGAGAACAGAGCTCCACGCTCAACTTTAGGAGCTGACCTCGAGAGAACAGAGATCAGAAGGCTAAAGGCCTCCCTTGCCCATTTTCTTTCTAGACACTTCTTTTCCAATATATCTCAACTGATCATTTTCACTTGGTATTATCACTGCATCAGTTTTAACTCTATTTAGCCTCCCTGATTCTCTATCTGATTGACGAAAGCTCTCAGTGCCAACCAATGTAGTCTTGAATATCATGAACTATAAATTCATAACAAAGTTCTCTAATTGGCCCAACTCATCTGTTCAACCAACTACCTTGGGTCAGCTATGTACACCCATGAGTCAGCTAAGGCCAGAGAATGAGGTCATATGGAATTGAGGTCGCATGAAATCGAGCATGGTGAGAAAATGATTACAAAGAAAGAATATAGATTTAAAACAAACAAAAAGAGCAAACCAGCTGGTACAAGGAATATGTATACATTCTCTGTACTATCAAACATGCTATGCATTTGCTAAATCTAAGAAATTGGATGGCCCTTAAGATTATGAGAAAATATATGATAAGTGTACTGCTAACACAAATGGGTAACTTTAAGTGTCTCTCCTTTTAATTTTTTTTTTTTTTTTGGTGGGACCCTCGCTGGTAGCCGGGGAACAAACTGGCCCTGCAAAGGCTGCGGGCAGCCTCGCAGCCCAGCGCTCAATCGCTGTGCCACCAGGGGAGGCCCAAGTGTCTCTCCTTTTAAACGACTTTTACAAAACAGAATAATGTTACAATAGAAACTACAGCTATGTATTAACCCAATGACTCCTTTTTTATTGTACTAATACAGATGCTCCACATTTTATGTTCTACTTTAATCTATATAACTATCCTAAATAATGAATTGTATTCTTTTGCTTAAAAGTTTATTTGATTATAATGTCTAATGAAATAAATTCTCAGTGGATCTAGAGACAAACATACATTTTTGAACTTGTCAAAATTATATTTTCTTGAAGAGTTTTATAGTATTTGTGATTTATCTTTTTCATTTTCTCTTTAAATTATTTCACTCTCTATAGATATTGTGTGACCCATCTTTTTTATGTGGTTAGTTTTTATAGACTGTCAAGTAATTAATAATATGTAAAGAATCTGCAATATTTTTTCTGTCCCTTAAATGGCCCTTCACTAACATCTCTCATTTGTCTTCCCACACTTTTCTCGATTTGTCTTTGTCACCACAGAACCTTTGAGAAATCAGAATTGGAAGCAGGAATGTGGTCAATTATAGCCCTAGGACTTGTAAATTATTGTCCTTTGACTCAAAGTTTGTAGTTTGAGTCATCCCTGTCTTCAAGTAATTAGCTGAAAGTGTAGTTTCTTTATAATTTTTATAGTTGTGAAAATATTCCATATAACATGGGGAGGAGATTTGAGGAATTAAATTACAATCAAGTTACCACTGAATTAAATATTGTGCAAGATGGGAAGGACGAAAAAGCCAGTTTAAACCTGGGAGAGTATTCCAAGAGATGAGATGGATGGAGCAAGATGGCCTGTCTGAGCTGTGTCCATGGAGATCTTTTGGTCACAGAAAGGCTTACAAATTGAAAATAAAACCAAGATTTTTTAGTCAAAACAGATATAACTTCAACAAAGCAATCTGAGAATAAATAAAAGGGGATTCATCCAAGATAATTGCCATGAATAGCACTGAGGTTTAATTACAGAGTCGAAAAACATAATGGTAATAAATCTTAAATATTTAGAAATTTGGTATTACTGGGTGAGATAGCATGTGTAAAAATAGATATTTAAACAATGCTTATAGTAAATATTTTACAATAAACTTTTAAATTAATTCCTCAGGTCCCAAAATGGTAGATGTTCAGAGTCAACAGTTTCAGATCAACAACAAGGATGGCAAGCCACTGTTTACTGTTGATGAAAAGGAAGTGGTAATCGGTGTAGATAAACTTCGAGTAACTGGTATGTAGTAATTCTGGTTTGTTTATTTGTAACTTTTTTTATTGGGGTAATATTGGCTTAACAAAGCTATATAATTTAGAAGTATAGGTTCACACCTCTTCAGGTGTATGGTATCATACCATACCCAACACCAAAGCACCCATAATCTTCTTCTATAGACACTCACCCTTTTGTCCCCCCACTCCTCTTTTCAGTACCCTCATTCTGTAGTCCTAGTTCAAACTAGAAAATTCATAACCTATGTGACAATACACATTAAAGCAGTTTTTTTTCCCTAAAAGACTAAGAAATCTAATTATAGGAAATTAATTAATCCCTAATCAATAAATGGCCAGGTTTCCCAAATACCTTGGTCATCAGAAATCCAGCAGTGTATAGTTAGGAGAATACACACTTGATAGATGTAGATTTTTATTCCTATGTCAGCTGCATGATCACAGGCAATTTATTTAATCTTAGTATGCTGTTTCTTCATTTTAAAAAATGGGTTGATGTCTACTGTATGAAATTGACAATAAAGGTTTTGGTTGAATATTATTGTACTGCAGGGCAATGAAGTCTTTGGGGAAAATTCTCAAATAAATAGCATAGAGGCAGGAGGGGAGCGGCACCCACCACCGGGGCAAACTGGGTGCACAGGGGAGGGCATTCCCGCAGGAGCATTTTGGAGCAGGGACCTTCCTTTGGTGGAGACTGCTTGAAGCTGGAGGAGGGCTCCCGGAGGAGCCAGAGGTGAGCTGAGAAGTTCGCCCACGCCAGGCCCCTTCTGGCCTGCAGTCTGAGCCCAGAGAGGAGTGGCACCCACCACTGGGGCAGACCGGGCGCGCAGGGGAGAGTGTCCCCCGCATCGCCATTTTAGAACAGGGACCTTTCTTCAGTAGAGACGGCTTGAAATCAGCAGAAGGCTCCCAGAGGAGCCAGAGGTGAGCTGGGAGGTTTGCCCACGCCGGGCCCCTTCTGGCCTACAGTCCGAGCCCAGAGGGGGGCGGCACCCATCACCAGGGCAGACCCGGCACACAGGGGAGCATGTCCCCGGCATTGCCATTTTGGAGCAGGGACCTTTCTTTGGTGGAGACTGTTTGAAACTGGCAGAAGGCTCCCAGAGAAGCCAGAGGTGAGCTGGGAGGCTCGCCCACACTAGGCCCCTTCCTGCCTGCAGTCCGAGCCCAGAGGGGAGCAGCACCCACCGCCGGGGCAGACTGGGCGCGCAGGGGAGCATGTCCCCCACATCGGCATTTTAGAACAGGGACCTTTCTTCAGTAAAGACTGCTTGAAACTGGCAGAAGGCTCCCAGAGGAGCCAGAGGTGACTTGGGAAGTTTGCCCAAGATGCCGGCCAGTACCAGCAACACAGTGTCCCAAGGAATACAGCAAATTAGAAAACAGGCAGTAGGGAGTAGAAAAACCACATGCAAACCAGGAACTCCTCAGGAAAAAAGCACAGCACAAAAAGAAAACCACCTACCAGATTGCAACAACAGTAACTTGGAAGAACTTCTGAGCCATCCAGAAAGAGAATTTAAAATTGCAATGATTAAAAAATGGACAGAAGTCATAAAGGAAAACAATGATAAGGGAAAAATAATTAACGATCAGAAGAATGAAACTGAGTCCCTAAAGAGGGAAGTAAAAGAAATGCAGGAGATCAAAGAATTAACCGAGGCGCTAAGAACTCTGGGAAAAGCAATGAAAGCAGAATAGATGAAATGGAAGAACGAATAAGTACTCTTGAAGACACAGAAATAAAAAGAACTAAAACAGAAAAGGAAAGAGAAATACGAAGGAAAAAGACAGAAGAAAGACTTTGGGAACTATCTGACTCCATGAGGAAAGGAAATATAAGAGTTATAGGAATCCCAGAAGGAGAGGAGAGAGATGTAGGAACAGAGAAAATATTCAAGGAAATAATTGAAGAGAACTTCCCAAACGTGAAGAAGGAGCTGAAAATTGATATACAAGAAGCAAAAGAACACCAAACTTCCATGACAAAAGGAAAAATACAGCAAGACACATAATAGTAAAGCTCCCAAGAATTCAAGACAAGGAAAAAATAATGAAGCTGACAAGAGGGTAGAAACAGATAACATTCAAAGGAAAACCAATCAGGCTGACATCAGACATCTCCGAAGAAACACTAGGGTCAAGGAGAGAATGGAGGGACATAGTCAACAGACTCCAAGAAAACAGATGCCAACCAAGAATACTCTATCCCGCAAAGCTCTCCTTCCTCTATGAAGAAAGAATAAGGACCTTCCCAGACAAACAGAAACTCTGGAATTTCATTACAACTAAACCCCCACTTCAAAAAATACTACAAGGAGTCCTAAAGCCAGAACCTCAGAGGGACGAATAACAACTAAAGAAGGCCAAAAAAAAAATAGTTATTAAAAGAATAAATAAATAAAATCAAAGGAAAGACAAACACAATGGCAAATACAGATGCTAACATATCAATACTAACTCTAAATGTAAATGGACTAAACTCTTCAATAAAAAGACAGAGTTGCAAGCTGGATTAAAAAAAAACCCCAACCTTTTGAGCTCTCCAGGAAACACATTTAGCTACAAAAGATAAAAATAGACTCAAAGTTAAAGGATGGAAAACAATCCTACAAGCAAATGGACCAAAAAAGAAGGCAGGAACAGCTATACTCATATCAGATAAAACAGATTTCAAACTTAAAAAGATAAAAAGAGACCCCAACGGTCACTACATTATGATCAAAGGGACAATACTTCAAGAAGAAATAACACTCATTAACATATATTCACCAAATGAAGGAGCACCAAAATATATCAGACAACTATTGTCATCTCTGAAAACAGACATCAGAGAAAACACATACGTAGTGGGAGACTTCAACACACCACTATCAACAATGGATAGATCAACGAGACAAAAAATAAGTAAAAACACTAAAGCTCTATATAAGGATCTAGAGAGCTTGGGCTTAACAGACATCTACAGAACACAAAACCCAAAAAAATCTGAGAACACATTTTTCTCAAGTGCACATGGATCATTCCCCAGGATCAATCACATACTGGGACACAAGACAAACATCAACAGATACACCAAGATTGAAATCATACCAATGATCTTTTCAACCATGAAGGCATCAAACTAGAAATAAACCATAAAAAGAAGGCAAGGTACACTCCTACCTCATGGAGATTGAAACCCACACTACTGGAAGACCACTGGAATGACGAAGAGATCAAAGAAGAAATTAAAAAATTCTTTGAATTGAATGACAATGAGGACACCAATTTCCTAAATGTATGGGATGCAGCAAAAGCAGTAATAAGAGGAAAATATGTAGCAATAGAGGCTCACATCAAGAAACAAGAAAGAACTCAAAGAAACAACCTAATCTCGAAGCTCAAAGATCTAGAAAAAGAACAACAAAAAACCCCAAAACTAGTAGAAGAAAAGAAATAATAAAAACCAAAGCAGAAATAAATGAAATCGAAATTTAAAAAATAATCCAAAAGATCAATGAAACCAAGAGCTGGTTCTTCGAAAAAATCAATAAAATAGACAAACCCCTAGCCAGGCTCACAAAGGAAAAAAGGGAGAAAGCACAAATAAACAGGATCATAAATGAAAGAGGAGAAATCACACGGACACAGCAGAAATTAAAAGAATAATCAGTAACTACTATGAACAGTTATATGGAAACAAGTTCAACAATCTAGAGGAGATGGACAAATTCCTACAACTCTACAATCACCCAAAGCTAGATAAAGAAGAAATAGAACACCTAAACAGACCAATTACAAGCAGCAAAATTGAAATGGTAATCAAAAACCTCCCCAAAAACAAAACCCCAGGACCTGATGGATTTACAAATGAATTCTACCAAACATTCAGAGACAAATTAGTGCCTATCCTTCACAAACTCTTCCAAAAAATTGAGAAGGAAGGGACAATACCAAACACGTTCTATGAAGCCAACATTACACTAATACCAAAACCAAACAAGGACAACACAAAAAAGAAAACTACAGGCCAATCTCCCTAATAAACACTGATGCAAAAATCCTCAATAAAATTTTAGCTATCAGAGTCCAACAATGTATCCATAAGATAATTCACCACAACCAAGTAGGATTCATTCCAGGGACATAAGGATGGTTCAACATCCGAAAATCAATCAACGTTATCCAACACATCAACAAAAAGAAATATAAAAACCATATGATAATATCAATAGATGCCGAGAAAGCTTTCAACAAAGTACAACACCCATTCATGATAAAAGCCCTTGAAATTCTTGAAATTCTTGGGATACAAAGAACATACCTCAACATCATAAAGGTCATATATGACAAGCCAACAGCCAGTGTCATTCTCAATGGTGAAAAGCTGAAAACATTTCCATTAAGATCTGGAACAAGACAAGGATGTCCACTCTCACCAATGCTTTCCAATATAATACTGGAAGGCCTAGCCAGAGCAATAAGACAAGAGAAAGACATACAAGGAATCCAAATAGGAAAAGAAGAAGTCAAACTATCACTATTTGCAGATGATATGATAATATACATAGAGAACCCCAAAAACTCCACAGAAAAACTAATCAAACTAATCAATCAGTTCATTAAAGTGGCAGGATACAAAATCAACATGCAAAAGTAGTAGCCTTCCTAAACACAAACAATAAATCTGAAGAAGAAGAAATAAAAAAAACTATCCCTTTTATTAGCGAAACAAAAAAAATCAAATACTTGGGAATAAATCTAACAAAAGAGGTAAAGGACCTATACAAAGAAAACTATAAAACACTGTTAAAAGAAATAGAAGATACAAAGAAATGGAAAGACATCCCCTGCTCATGGATTGGAAGAATAAACATTATTAACATGGCCATATTACCAAAAGCAATATACAGTTTCAATGCTATTCCAATCAAAATTTCAATGTCATTCTTCAAAGAAATAGAAAAATTATTGATGAAATTCATACGGAATCACCAAAAACCCAAAATAGCCAAAGCT